GATTTTAGTTAATTTTTTTTTATCTTTTCTCAAGGGAACACTGACCTTGCCAAATGGAGATTATATTGAAGGTCTCTTCAGTGGAGAGTGGGGATCTGGAATAAAAATCACAGGAACCTACTTCAAACCTAGTTTGTATGAGAATGAGAAGGACAAGCCTAAAGCACTGTGAGTGTGGAGTAATAAATAATATCTCACGTGGTTCAGTGTTACTTAGGAACAGAATGATTGTCTTTTTTCAAAGACTGGTCAAAAATACTTCCCAAAGAAACACTGAAAACATTTTGAAAACATTTTTCCTCTTTCTTGCTGCTCATGAAATAAAATAAGATAAACATTTTTTAATAGTTATTATTTGCTTTAATTACTACTTGAATATGCAAATAGTGGCATGAAATTACAGGACAGCTGATGTGCTGCTACTGTGCTGTAGCAGTCTCAAACTTTTATTTGTTTATGTTAGAACTGGCTGACAGAGCCTGAGTTCACAGCTGCTGCTGACTTTTGAGCTCCTGAGAAAGATTTAAGTTCCATTAGAGCAGTTAAGTTAATCAGAGACCTGTCTGCCTTCTGGCAGTTACTTTGTTAGCAATTTCATGAATTGTGTCATTTAATAATGCCAGTGGGGATATATTTGGACAGAATTGACTAGATCCTCCACCTCTTCCAAACAGTGTATAAGAAAATAGAATGTTGCTGATTTGCAAAAGAGCATTTCAATACCTTGGCAAAGATGACTTTGAAAAGTATCCATAAACCCCTCTGTATAGCAGATGCCTTAGGGTAATTTGCTTAATTATTTCTGGGGGAAAAAAGCAAAACATGTTTAAGTTGTAATTGATACATCTTTGAGTAAAAGAAACCTAAGTAAAGGGTTGATGGTGAGATGTTGGAATGTGGTATCACCATGTAATGGTTTAGGAATTGCTGTATGAGATTCGGTATCTTGGAAACATGCTCTGAAATTTCAGATTAAAATGGGAAACACAACTTTAATATTTTTACATAGATTACTTGTCAGTTGGCTTCCCGAAGCTTTCACTGGTGATTTCTTTTGACAGTGCTGACACCTACAACAGCATGCAAGTTAAGCAGGGCCTCCCGCTGAACTGAACACTTGCAGCCTTTGCAGCTGTCTGCTTTTTACCCCAGTAGGGAGTCTATGAATAAATGTATATACATATTTTTGAGGATTGCTTGTGAAATAAGGGTTTCATCTACCCTCTTCTGACTATCTTCATGTTTAAAATCTTCTGGTATAATTTCTGAAAAGGCTTAGAGTCTACTTTTTCTGCTTTGTGAAACTGGCAGCATGGGGAAATTACCTGTGTTGCTAGTTCTCATCTCAAATATGCTGGAAGAAATATTAATGAAAGGTCTGGCAACTTCTGACACTTGATTTAAACCATGACAGCACTTACTTGTTTTGAGAAAGCTTTTCAAAGCCCAAAATTTCATGGTAGGTCTGAGGTATCTTTATCTATACACATGGGTAGAAGAGCTCTTGGTTTTCTTCTGGCTATAGATGATCCCTGAGCATTGTCTGGCAGTGAAAGGATGCCTGAGCTGGTTTTGCTCTCTATCAGCACATCCCTAACATTCCCTGCAACATTATCTGTAGCTACTACTTCAGGGCCAGAAGCTGTGTACCCATCCTTGGTATTTATGTGGGAAGCTGTGCTGCTTGGACACTCCAGGATAGTGAGATACTTGGGACTTATTTGTGCCGTGTCCTTGCTACATTAATGTGTTATGAGACTTCTGAATGAATGCCAGTGGTGAAGATAAGCACCAGCCCTTTGTTGTACCATTTCCTGGAAGGCTGCAAGAAAGAGTAAAACTAACAAAGTTCATAGCTGTTCTCTAATGTAGGAATTAGTTGTAGGCTCTAACTTTATTCTTAGTGATAAAACTTGGTTCACACTAGAGTCTGTTAAGTTTCTCAGCTTTTGGTAAAACAGTGTGGGAGATGAGATTGACATTAGCCATGGGTGGTTTTCAAGCTAAATGTGTTGCTTCATTGCTATTTGATTTTAAAAAACCCACTGGTCATTTTATTAGGCGGAAACTTGGGATCCTGGCAGTGTCCCCTGATGAGAAATGGAAGGCAGTATTTGAAGAATGCTGGAACCAGCTTGGCTGTGAGAGCCCTGGCCAGGGGGACAGATGGAAGGCTTGGGACAACATTGCGGTGGCTCTGACCACCAACCGACGGCAGCACAAAGACAGGTTGGCTCCTAGAGAATGTGTCACCAGGCAAAACAGGATGGAGAGGAAACTGGGATTGCACTCAGCTCTAAACTTGAAACTCTGGCTGTAAAGTTTTAGTTAAAACAACAGCAAATCCCAAGTGAAATTATAACCTTACTGCTCTGCACTACAAACCCTTTCAGGGACATGCTGATGTTTATTACTAGTTGAGTTGTTAATGTCGGGGTTTTTTCCCCCATTGTGTGTCTCAACTTGTACAATGTCTGTCTTTTTAAACTGCAGCCCAGAATTACTGAGCCGCTCACATACTCAGACACTGGAAAGTTTGGAGTTCATTCCACAACACATTGGTGCCTTCACCCTGGAAAAATATGAAAATATAAAAAAATATTTGATAAAGGTATTGTGACTGAAATGCTCACATACTAAGGCATGGCAAGGCATGACAAGCTCACTTTGTAACAGCTTTCCTAATTAATTCCATATTTGCACTCTTGTAATCCATAGTTCATGCTTGCTCATCACTTAATATATTGAAGTCCGCAATAAGACTACAGTCATTGAATACCTAATGACTGCCCTTTTAAAGTCACTTTCTGTTCTTTAATGTTGGATCCCAGCAAAGTATCTTGAAATACTTGCTAATTTTTGCATGTTAACTTTAAGAGTACTGGACAGATGACTAGTCCAAGTAGTAGCACAAGTTCTGGTACTGTCTTGACTCCTATAAATTGTGTTTAGCTGACACCAAAATTTTATAATCCAATTGGCAAGTTGTTAAATGTAGCTGAATTTTGAGATAATTGTAATATTTTTTTGAAAGCCTGTTGTTGAATCTCTCACCCATCTGTCTTGGATTCCATTTTTTTAAACTTGTCTGCCATTGACCTATCTGACTGGCCAATTAATATACATTGTCTCAGGCTTGTGATACTCCTCTCCATCCCTTGGGCAAGCTGGTGGAGACACTGGTGGCGGTCTACAGAATGACCTATGTTGGAGTAGGAGCAAATCGACGACTGCTGCAGGAGGCTGTAAGGGAGATCAAGTCCTACCTCAAACGCATCTTCCAGCTGGTCAGGTAACGAGATTCATTTCCAAGTCAAACTACTGCTGAATTCATTAAAGCTGCCCCATGTACTGAAGCTGTCTAGTGTTGTACAGTTCAAATTATTACTTAATGTTGGGGGTTGCTTGTATTTTCCTATCTTTTTAAGGAGCCTTGAATATTTTGTCAAAAATGGAAAAACTGAACTCTTTACACCTACATTACATCCTACATTGTACTTCAAAATGTGGCTGTAAGCAGCTCACCTGGAATATGGATTTATAATTTTGTGTCTGTGGATATCAGTGCTGTGCAAAGACAGTGTTCGAAGGGTATAGAACACTAGTGAGGATAGGGAATCCCAGTGTATTCCATAAAGTTCTTACCAATATGGCATTAAAGTTCTTACCAACATGGATGAACAATCTTCTATGAACAGCTGGCTTAGATTCTTGAGAATAATTACAGCTTTAATTGTGTCCTGCCAATCTGAAAGCAGAAACGCTCCAAATTACTAACAATTAGAAGCCTTGTCTGGAGGGAAGCGATGTTAATGTAGGAAAGGTGTCCTTGGAGAGGTTGGCCTTCCGAAGTTTTCCTCCAGGGAGCTGGTACTCTGTGTGTGTTAGCTGTGCTGCGCCCACCATGTATTATTTTTGCTGTCTTGGTGCTGAGATCTGTGGAAACGTGTGATGTGACCTCAACTGCTGTTACGCGTGTTGCCTTTTAGGTTCTTGTTTCCTGATCTCCCGGAAGAGGGCAGCACAATTCCATTTCTGACAACGGAGCCAAAAGGAAGGCGATCATTTTGCAGTGGGAAATCTGATTCCAGATCAGAATCTCCTGAGCCAGGGTACATAAAGGAAAAACAAATAAAAATTAACAAAGCCTTTATTTTACTTGTTGCATTTATTTTTCTTCTTTGGGAGAAGGAAGATAAACAATATTCAACTGATGGATCTAAGAGTGGTTTTTCTTCACCTTGGGTTCTGATGACAGATTCTGATAAGCAATCTTCCATGTTAGGGTTGTAATAAGCATTTCATGCTTGTCCATGCAGTGGTTTTTTACTTAAAACAAAATTTGCTTTTGTTTGTTATGGGTAAGCCAGTTAAGGCTTGGGCCTGGGCTTCAGAAAAGTATTCAGATTAGAGCACTAGAGGTAATTTATAACATTTTCTTATCAGAGTTGCTATTTGGTGGATTTGTACTTATTTTTTTACTCTTATCCCTTTAGAATAGGCTCCTGTACATTAAAGATTTGTTCCAATGATTTTAATTTAATTTTTATAGGTAATTAGGGTTTTTTATGTCTTCCTCTGCAAACCACCCCCTCTGGATTTTTGTTGCAGTTATGTGGTAACCAGTTTTGGCTTGCTGCTCCCTGTATTACTGCCACGCCTCTATCCCCCTCTGTTTATGTTGTATGCCTTGGACAATGAGCGTGAGGAGGATATTTACTGGGAATGCGTTTTACGCCTAAACAAACAAACTGATATGGCTCTTCTCAGCTTTCTTGGAGTGCAAGCGTGAGTATGCCACAACAAAACATAAACTGCAACAGGTTATGGCATGTAATTAGGTAAAAGCAACTAAAACAAAGCCTCAATTTTCTGAAGTATTTTCTTTGCTTTAAATGCATCTAAGCATGTCTTCAAGCCAATTAGAAGGGTTGAGAGAGGGAATCAAACATTCCCTCTTCCAAAACAGGGAGGTGGAAGGGATGGGACAGAGGTAAAGATTGACATTGCTCCAAAATCAGTGAGACATTTCAAATTACACAATTTCCTGGGTACCTGTGGGAGGTGTAGTGGATCCTGTAGGAAGGGCTGTTGTGTCTCAGAACATGATGACTTCAATCCTGTAATGCAAAAGATACTTTAAGACTATGTTTTGTCTTGGGTTTCTTGCAGGAAATTTTGGCCAGGAACTGTGTCCATCCTTGGAGAGAGTAGAAAGGTATGTTCATTGGGCCTTGTTTACATGTTTTGCCCAGTGCTTCTTTTAAGAAACTGAAATCATCAAAGTGATCAAAGAATTTTTGGCCAGCCTTTTTGCTTAAGATATGCCATGTTATTATATTTCCCTTAAGTTTGTCTACTGTTTAAATGCTATGGTAATGACTTAGCAGGGGCACTGGACTAGATGATCTCCAGAGGTCCCTTCCAGCCCCAGCCATTCTGTGATTCCTTACAGTGGCCATCAGTCCAGCTTTGTCACTCACTGACTGACTTGGTAATGAATTTAAGAGACCTTTGCTCAGTCTCTAGTTGTGAAAGTGTGAGAATGAAAGTCTAGGAAGGAGACTTTCAAGCTGCTTAATTAAGAGAATTATATTATTATATACTTTCTGATTAGCAAAAATGTGTAGTTTACATTCTTAATAATGATCTTGTTGAAAGAGGTTCAACACTGAACAGTGGGGGTGCTGAACCTGCCTGATGAATCTTACCATGATTACACAGGTATCATCAAACACAAAAGACGCCTGCTTTGCCTCTGCTGTTGAATGTTTACAGCAAATCAGGTAATTCTCTGCAATTTGTCTTTTTGTTTCACTGTTACTGCTATAGTAGTATCTGGTTTACTTGACTGGGATCCTTTACATGTCACCCTTTCTTGTGCACCTTCCTAAGAGAAGTCACTAAGATGTTTTCCAGTTCTGAGTAAAGATGCAATTTCTCCTAGTGGGGAATGAAGTGTTGCCTCATAAACATGACTGAAAGGTGTCTGTAGGGCACCATTTAGAATCAAAGGCATAAGGACGTCTATGAAATACACATGTGAATTTCCAAACAGCTGTGGTAAAGTGACCTGAGCTTGGGAGGCTTTTCTGTGTCTGTTGTGCAAGAATTTAAGAAATTAGTAAATTTAAAATATTTTAGAAAGGAATTTTTCCCTTTTTACCACTATATTAAAACACCATGAAAGTATGAAGAGAGTCTCACTTGCAGTAGTGTGCCTTGGTGTGGTGTTTGTAACCTGGGTACTGTGCAGCCTTGGCAGCCCTGGCTGCTGCAGTGTCAATGTCTGACTGACCTCCATGGGCACAAGGAGGGCCATGGTGGCCTGCAAACCCTTCCTAATTTAGATGCAGATTTCTCACTGCTTACTGTTATCCTGGTTTGCTTTTGGTCTCCAAATAGTACCACATTTACCCCAGCTGACAAGCTGAAGGTGATCCAGCAGACTTTTGAAGAGATCTCCCAGAGTGTACTTGAGACCCTTCAGGAAGATTTTCTGTGGTCCATGGATGACTTGTTTCCTGTTTTTCTCTATGTGGTTCTACGAGCCAGGTAAGCACCAAGGGTGGCATCAGTCATAGGCTGAGCATAGGCAGTAGAAGTATTTCTCTGTTAAATACGCCTGCTGCTTGTTATAGGATTAGTTACTGGCTTTTTGTAACTATAAATTTTCCAACTTGACTGTTTGCTTTGGTCTGAAAAAGTCTTGAACCGTCTTTATAGTGAAAAGGCCCTGAATTCAGAATTAAGAAACATTATACTGGCAACTTTTGTTCCCATGTTCACTTTCCTGCTCTCACATGTGGCAGGATAAGGAATTTGGGGTCTGAAGTGCACTTAATTGAAGACCTGATGGATCCCTATCTCCAGCATGGGGAGCAAGGCATCATGTTCACTACCTTGAAGGTATGAAAATTATTCAGAGTTATTAAAGGCTTTCTTTGGAAATAATAATCTTTTAGCAATGAAGATCAGCTTAGGTCAATTACATGAACATTAGGCTATAACTTCTTTGACTTTTTAAATTGAAATACTTTACTACGATAGGCAAGGAAATTTATTGTAGAGCTTTGACTAACCTCCTAATTGCAGGTACCACTAAGAAAAATGGTGCAATGTGCAAATGTGGATTACTCAAAGGTAATATTGGTTGCTCTTGAAGTGCTCTAAATGCTCACCTGGAGCTTGTCATTCCCCTGCAACTTAACAAGCCTTACTCTCCCTATAAAAATTGAAATGAAGTGCTTCTTTGGAGATTAGCTATTCCATTAAAGTTTGATATTACATCAGGACTTTCCAAGAATGATATTTTAGGGGAAAAAAAAGCCACTCCGTCACTCTCTACATTTTATTAAATATTCCTACCTTTTTAAGTATGGGAAAAGGAAGAAAGTGGGTTTGGAAGAATATCCTATTGTACACTGAGACATTCATAATGGAAATATGTTGTTTTGGTACCTCAAAACTGGTTTTCATGTGGATCTTGTGACAGTTCAGCTGTATGTAGCCTTTTAGTGGTCTTGTTTTGGAGGGAGGCTATTAATCTGCAACTTAAGAAAGAATCTTAAACTGAAGTGTAAGGTTATCATGATTGTATTTTCTGTCTGCGCAAACTCAAAATAGTTGAGTCCAGAGGATTTTTTTTAAAGACTTACTAGTTTCATAATGTGGAAAAAAAGTAAGGTTTGCATTGATTCAGATTTACTAAAGATCCTACATGGTGGAAGCAGAAGTAGAATCTAATTTGCCATGACTGCAAGTATTGTCTGAAACATTTATATTAAGTTTCTGATCCTGGCTGACCTGACCCAGTGCATATTTGAACCTACATTAAGAAGTGAACATGAGATCAGGGTGATGGACACCTTTGCTTTTCAGTCTAAGTGCTTTTGAAATGCTTCATCTCTGTATCCTTATCGCGTAAAAATATTGTTTCTTTTTTTTGAGTCCTTCTGTCCATGGCCAAAGAGAGACTTGTAATCAGAAATATACTTTCATCTTGGCATAGCTGGGAGCTGTGAAAGTATTGAGTCCTAAATCATGCTATCTTGCTTGATGAGGTGTTGGATGTAATTTGTAACTTAGTCTCCTGTTGCTCATTTTGCTAGCTTTCATATCAGAAGGTTCTCATGTGTTGAGTGCCACTATAGCATCACTGCTTGTAGGGAGCCTTGTTCTCTGTTTTCTTGCATAGAAGAAAATCAGCCTTTTTGTGTATGATGCTTTGCTGTGAACTGGCACTTGTGCTCATCTGAACTTTGTTTTAATTCAGGCATGTTACTACCAGATTCAACACGAAAAGCTTACCTAGACCATCATTTACAGCCTGCCCCTGGGAGATAATCTACTCAGTGGAACTTCACTTCTTCCCTGAAATGGTCCTTAGAAAATACTTGGTTATAGTTCTGCTGCTACAGATGAAAATGTTCAGTTGTTTCTTTTGAACTCTTAAGTTCTAAGATTCAAAAACTGCAGCCAGAAGCTTTCTGTGAAGTGCTGATGAAGTTAAAGACTTGGTTCATCAAGTACCTACCAAGAAGAAATACTTTCCAATTCTAACAGAGAGATTATTTACTCCTGTTAAATTAACCGTGCTGCACAAAGGCATGACATCTACCTAGAACACATGTGAGAGACTGGACTGCATGGCTTGCAAAGCAGTGGGTTTGTTTTTATTATTCCTGGTTTGTCAACAGAAATGTTTAAAGGGAATGAAATGCACCACAGAACCATTTGATCTTCCTGAATTAAGCTGTATGTTTGTTTATTTAAGAAAATAGAAATATGTTAGTATTTATAATGGGTACCTATAGCGTGTTTGGCTGTAATGGTTTTGAGGCATCTGTGTTGAACAGCATTGCTGAATGCAGTATTCATGTGCTGTTGTGGAAGTAATCACACTGTTACAGACTTCCCTATTTACTAGAATTGTAAATATACAGGCATTTACTGTTCTTTCTGTTTATGAAATAAATAAAAGGCACTGACCACTTCAGATTTTGGCACTGAATAAAACGCTGTGCAGTGTTCAGTTTGCTTACCCTGAGGACAAACACTGTCTCTGTCAGCCCTTGTGGGCTGCTTGAGAGGTGAGAAGGGTGAAGGGTGCTCTTGAGCAGATGTGCTAGGTTGACCTTGGTTAACACCAGGTGCCCACCACGCTCCTCTCTCGCTCCACTCCTCAGCAGCAAGTGATGGCCAGCCCCTTCCTGGGCAGGGTTTAGCATGCGGAGCCGCTGCCCCAGAGATGAACTCCTAGCACCAATGCCAAGCTCTTCCCACTGCAGGGAAGCTCCCGGGCAGTTCACCCCACAGGCTGCTGCATTGGGGTGGCTGCTCCAGCGGGTTTGGGACTCCGCTGTCGCTCCTGGTTCTGCCTGTGCTGAGCCAGAGCTGCCTCTGAGGCAGAGCTTCAGTGCTTCCATGCTTCCCACGTGGAGCAGGACACACTGAGCTGTCTCTCCTGGTACTAATTACAAGGTCTCCCGCTTTGGGAAAGGTCCCTGCAGTCCCTTAGCGTGATCCCGATCACACCTGCTGGAGCAGTTCACCTCGAAGGCTGCAGAGAAGTCATTTCCCTGGGGAATCTCAGTGTGTGTGTTCTGTGGTTTATGGCTAACTTCCTTATACTAATAACACTGGTGGGTAACTATAGTATTGTAAGTGCCAGGACTGACTCAAAAAAATAAAAAAGGGAAGGGAAATGTAGATTACAGAATGTTATAATTGCTCAAGTTATGTTAGACTCCATAGATAATGCTTATCACATTTTGAAGTAGTGGTCATGGCTTGTATATTGGCATCTAAATGGAAAGAACCCATATGCCAAAACACACTTGTGTTGAACAGCTGCAATGTAACAATTTTCATAATAAAGTAAAAGTAATTGGTCTTTTCAAAATTATTTCTAGTTTTATCAGAGAAGGGGAAAGAGTAATTCTGGAACGATGATATTTAAAACTGCTGTTAAATTGCAACAGACTATAGTGATGAGAGACTATAGAGAGTGGACTCCATGTTTACAAACAGTTTAGTGTTGGCTTCATCTTATTTTTAAAATTATACTGAATAATTCAAGGAGAGATGAGCAATAATATGAATGAAAGGGAAGCTCTAA